ACTTGGCATTCAATGTTGGATATTTTATTGAGAAAGAGCTAAAGTTAAAAAAAATAATTTGAAGGCGTTTGAATACTCTTAAATTAAAACGTGAATTTAAAGCATTCTATTATTATCAAAAATTTATAGATTTGGGGATGAAACATTGTAGGAAAAAGAAATTGGAAAGAATGGACAATAAGGTATTTATTCAGAAATTTGCTGATAGGAATAGTTCTAATAGGATATTTTAATCTTGCATTTACTATTTTAATATATTAGAATAGGGATTGATAATGATATATATAAAATATCTGCTAGATGAGAAATAGTGATGAAACAAAAACCTTCCATATTTGACATTTCACCTCTTCTATCTTTACCCTTAATTCTAATCTATTATCCCAATTGTATGTGCTTAATCTTTTTTATACAACTTTGAATTTACTCATTTCAAGAACTTGAAGAATTGGAGTTGAAGACGACAACGTAAGATATTTAAAGTCTGATACTTATTGTAAATATTTATAATTCATTTAATATTGAATAGTTTTGCGAATAATCTGCAGGAACTAATGTTTGTGAGAAATCGTTATCGAACATTACTATGTAAGCATAAATAATTACCACATATAGTTTAGTTCGATTACTAATCTAACAATAATGATCAACATAATAAAGATTGTAACGATAATCTTTTTTTGTTCAAAAATGTCTTTGTCTGATATCGACAATGCAGTATCTACGGCTTTTAGTTCTGAACAGACTAGCGATAAACAACGAAAATTGGCTGGGCGGCTGTTTGATCCTGTTTGGAATCATTTCAACCAGATAGAAAAAAAAAAAAGTGGTCATTATTCTGCTAGTTGCAAACACTGTTCACAACAATGGCCACGCGGAGATGTACTAACCTTTAAAGTACATATTGCACGTAATTGTCCTAATGCCCATTAGAAGCACAACATTTTTATTTTAAACAATTAGTCGAAGATAACGATGATCAAACATCAAACAAGAAGCGAAAAGCAAATTTGAAAAATAAGGA